ACTCGTATGTATTTATCTCTAAATTTATATGTCTACTTCAAGACCATATATTACTGCAGTGTCATTTCTTTGTTTAAGTATTAAGTTTACACAACTTTGTAAATTAATTTATTTTAATTGTCTTTTAAGTATTCATAATTATCATTACGTTGTTCATTGTAGTTATTCTGAGGGAACTAAATGTTTCAGAATAAAATTTACTGTCTTTCTTATTTCTTTCGAGCATTCGAGAATCAAACCATGTCCATAAGAAGTTGGGTACGTTAAAAATGAAACTTTTATTGACTAATCCGAAATGGGGCGCATGCACTGAATTCGACAAATACTCGCTTTCCAGTGAAATGTTTTACGAATTTTTATTTGAAGTATCGTTTCTCAACATTTTGGAAACTGACTTTGTTCCTGTCATGATTTGATCATTATTTACAAAATTATGAGTGTTAAGTGCCCAATAAATTTTATTGCTTTTACCTAAAATCAGTTTTTCAAAGTAACTAAAGATTATTTAACAAAAATATGATAAAAAAAGTTACATAGAGCATTACATCTTTGTCTTAGACCAGCAAAAAAAAAATTTTGAACTGAAAATATAATGCTCATAGAATAAAAGCTACACATTTTTTTTTTTTGTCTCCTGAAAAGTTTTAGTTTATGTTCTGACAGGCTTTTGCAGTGTAGCTGTCGATATACAAAAGTAAACCAGATTTTAACAACTTATTGACAAGGAATTTGGTAAAAGGAAATTTTTTTATGTTTCTTTATTTTTTATTAGTCACTTTAATTTAATCCAAAGCCGTTGACATGTTTTGCTTACTATTCTACCTTCAATGCTATACGATTGACTAAAGTTTTTAGTTGAAATGTTCATATTCATTTTGTGTGTAATACACTTTGTATTATTCCATAGCCTTATGATTGAAATATATAAAGATATTAAGTTCCTAAAACACAACTATTTCTTTGGGCAGACTGAAATATAACAATGTAAACTGGAACAAGCTGCCCGAGAAATGTATTTTTTACAGCACACAGTTAAATATTGTGCTGGTCAAGAAGCAGAGTTGCCCAGAAGTGGTTAGCTTGGCAAGAGATGCGTCATTTTTTGACGCGAGTATATTTTTAGGGGTACGTATTTACGGGTTTACGATTTTTTGTAACTATATTTTTAAAGGGTGTAAATTGGAAGAATTTTCCATCAAGGAATAAGGGAGAAAAATACATTTTTTATAATTATACTTTTATTAACAATGCTTTTTATAAGAAGAGGGCAACAAAATTTGTTATGGAGGGGTACATACTCCATCACCCTTGAAGGGGAGTTTACTAACTCGTGAACGGATGCATCGATTCATTTATTCTTTTTATTCCAGTCTTTAGCATGAAATAAACTATCAAAATATTGTATTTATTATATAATAATGCATCAATGTTTAAAAAAATAAAATAAACACATTAACGATCGTTTCATTATTTATTAGGACAAGCTGAAGATGCACATTTCAATGAAGAAAGAGGTGATGCTCACTGTTTGTGGCTTGTTTAACTTGGACTACACCTTGCTATATTCGGTGGGTATATTTTTGATTGATTTTACTTTTTATATTTATTATATTTTCAGTTTCGCAATTGACATATCTCAGTCTCTAATAATCTCGCTTCATCACTTATCTTTATCAGCGCAGTCTTTTGAACTATAACCACCATATCTTCAATATGGCCTTCTATCTAAAGATTTCCAGGTCTTCCACCTTCTTTTGACATTTCTGTACTACATTAATTCTTTTTCACTGAAATCATTCTGCACAATAAGTTATTTCTACATTTAGAATACTCTGCAATACGATAAAGATAATTCATTAAAAATTTTCCTTCTTATTCCAGATGATCTCTTCTGCTACAACATATCTGGTCATCATGATCCAGTTAGGTAAATCAATCAATATTACCCAGACGCTGCCGAAGGTAATGACCAACCTCACAACTTCACCCTTAACACCGCCCATCACCACTTAAAGATGTAATAATGTATTTGTTGTAAATTGAAGGATGGGAAGCTTCATTATTTTAAAATGCCACTTTGTGTCTAAATATATTTATTTCTTTATTAGTGGTTTATTTAATTTTTTTAACCTGACTCTTATCTTTTACATTATGTTTATCATTATATGATATACCATTCTACTTACTTAAATCTAGTTATGGACTAAAAGTACTCTGGGTAAGAATCAGATATTTGCATTGACCAAGCGTTTTGATTTGTAGATTATAATTTCTTAGTTTTTGGAGGTTCATTACATTCTAATTACTTTATAAACATATTCTTTAATAATATTGGGTCATCATAATTCAAAAATGTTACAAAAACAAAGTTTTATACATATATTGCTATATGAGAAGGAGTTAGTCGAGGGTGCGGTCATATAAATAAAAAAAATTAAAATATATTAATTATTTTAATTTTTGTCGACGTTTCGACCCACTTTGCAGGTCGTCTTCAGGGCGTAGGATGTGGCACTTGCTATATTGCTATAGTAACTATAGCTATATTGCTATAGTTTTTGATCCCTCCAAATGTTTTTGATCATGCTAATCACTTTTTGTTTCAATTTTATTGATCTTTTCATCACCCTAGATCTTTATTTGAAAGGATCTTTGTTTTATAAGATCCTTTAACAACTTATAATGACACTAAATCATATTTTTTGTCGTTTGAAGAGTGAACCATTCTCCAGCCCTGACTGAGTCCACAAATTGTATGCTTGTTGCTTTGCTATCTTTATTTATAATAGTTGAGTTTTACTTGTTAATTATAATTTGGAAAGGCTGGAGAAAGAAATAACAACTTAGCTAGTGGTTTATTCTAGACTTAGGCGGCTAGATGGCAGGTGCTGGCTTCAAGTGTCTAGGATCTCGTCTCCATTTGATGTATCATCCTTCAGGGAATACTTGAAAAGAAATCTTCTGTCAGCCTTATCTTGTTTCTGTTAGCTCATAGCCAGTCTGAAGAAGAAAAGAACTATGATCCTCGACTGTAGAAGCGCTAGTGTTCATGGTAGCAGCAACATTGTTCTTCTACCGATGATTCGTTGCTAAGGTGATCTAATATCTCTTCGTGATGTTTCGGTAGCTTAGCAATTGGAAGGAGCATTTCTAATTTCTAGAATATTTGAAGAGGCCTGTTTTCTCTTCACTTATATTATTTAACTCAAAATAAGTTTCTGACAAAATTCCGCGATTCACATTCTGGTCTGCATTAACATACACGTTTATCGCACTGTTTTAACTTATTCCTAAAATATGATCGATTTTTTTTTTTAGGTTTGTGTAACCCATGAAGCCGAAGTATATTTATAAATATAACACAAATAATAATATAGCTTCATTGACGTCATTATATTGATAAAAGCCTCTCACGGATTTGATAATTTGGCTATGACCTTTTTAATGAAATAATTCTTTCTAAATTAAGATAAACAATTTTTATAATTATGGAACGATTTGGAGCCAACATTCTCTGTCCCTGGAGTTTTTCATCGAGTTAATTCCTCACTCTACTTCTCACTTGGTCTATCGAAGTCCACTCTCCCCCACCTATGCAGACTCAGCACGTCTCCATTTCGCTTTTTGGACTTCCTTACGTTTCCCTTCTCACAAGAAAGGATATCGGGGATCTTTTTATATTCTCTCCTTTTGATTCCCACCATACTCCTCAAAAGTTTCATCTGCATAGTTTTCGGTTTCTCTTGTTCCTTCTTCGTTAGTACCCCTTTATAAATATGTTCATGTTTAAATTAGAACTGCTCTTGATAATTAGCGAAGTTTATTAGTTGAAACCTTTTTTTTTTTCATTAATACCTTTATGTACCATTTTCATTACAGTTTTATTTTTTAAAAGATTTTTCATTAAAATGTATGAAAAGATGTACGTATTATCTTCGGTTGCACATCAAAATATTTTTAAGTGAAAACTTCTTTGGGCGCGTTTTGTACTTTTTTTGTAGGGAATGAATGAAACTGGCTCGGATATGTAACGCTCATTCGGGTAAATTCGGCTCGAGTCGATTAAGTGAAGTGTTTTTATTATATGGTTTAAAATATCTCAGAAACTAAGAATCGGACTTTCATACTGTAAGCGAGGGAAATGTGGCAGCATTTCATCCTCTTGTAACTTAATGTGACGCATTGTTAGATAAGCGAAAAAGAAATGAAAGTGTCGCAAGCTGATTGGTAACGAGTTTAATGGAAGATGTGGATTAAAATATTTCAGATCTGCATACTGTAAGCGAAGGAATTGTTCAGCATTTCATCTTCTTTGTAATGAGCTATTATTCAAAATTGTACCTTAACGCAACGCCATGTTGGAGAAGCGCAAAGGAAAAAAAAAAAGATCCTTCCATAATGTATTTGAAGCAAAAACTAAATTTCAAGATAATTTTAATTCTTTCTATCTAAGGTATGTTACCAAGATCCTGCCTTTGTTTATTGATCTATCTCGAAATATGAAAAAAAAACAAGAAAACAAGGGTGTGTGCTTTAGACCATACGATAGAAGTGAAAACATAAACCAGACGAGATTAATAATAAGAAATATAATTGTTTTTTTTGTTCCATATTCATAATGTAATAACATTATTTTATAGTCTGGCCGTGTTTGAGAAGCTAAAAGGGAAAACGATATAACAAACAATGAAACAAGAACGATTATTTTGAAAATTTACTCTAAAGTATCTCAATATTTGGATACCATGGATAATTCAGAAACTGATTTGCGAAAGTCAATATACTTTTTTTTTTTTTTTAATCAGCCACAAAAATAAGAATTAAGAACTCATGTTTTTCTATTCGATTTTCTGTTGTACTTTGTACTTTTGACAAATTACTGACCCACGTCACAAATGTTATATTGACAAAAAGACGGATTTTTATTATTGAATAAATTATTATGATGATTGTTGAAGATGCTGACATCTTAACTCTTGAAAGTGGAAGTGGATACCCAGATGGAAGAGCACTTGACACCATCGATTGCAATTCCCCGATGGACGGGTAAACAACTTGAACTTAAAGCTCTCGAACCGTTTGACGACTTTGAGCTCATTGCAATGCCGCCGGCTGGAAACGGAGCTCCCCAGAACGACGTGATCTTCAAGTTCTCGACCATCGTCTGCTTGTTTCCTTTCAAGGAAGATGGTGGATCAAGGCTGGCTTTTAATCGGCTGCTGCTCGTCGCGTCTTTCATCTTCACCAGCTTGGTCTTGCTCGTTGGACTCGGAGCGATCTACGATTTCTTGCCTCGCTACAAAGGCAACATCTTCCTCCAAGGCTTGATATTCATTTACATGTCCTGCTACTTGTCGATATATCCATGTCATCTAGTAATCATTTCTCTTCAACGTAAAAATCTAGAAGCTCTATTTCAACATCTCAAGCAATTGTATTCCATAATAAACAGATCGATTCCTACTAAAGTAGATTTTTTTTCTTATATAGATATCTCTATAGTTATTATATGGTCGGTTTTGTTATGTTTTACTCGGGTACCCGTCTTGTATGGCATTTACACTTGGATCGCTGTCGGTTCTCTTCCAATAGTCTGTGGGCAGTTTAGTAACCTCGTCGATATCGTGACGGATCTGTTCGAAGCCGGATTATTGAATTTAGAAATCACGAAACAACGTTTTTATGGGAATAAGGTGAAAAAATTGGAAAATGTTATGGGTTTCGCAAACAGAATATTGATTGCCTCAGTCAGTCTCAATAACCTGTTTTCGTTTCAAATGCTCCTCATTATGTCTGTATGCTTTTGGGGTTCGTGTACGCACCTGTATCGGATTATTATAGGCATCACTTACCCAAGTGAAAAAGTGAATATTTTTACTCTTCCTCACATTTGTAATTTTCTATTGTGTTCTTATTCTGTTTGGAGGGTTAATTGTTCAGTGACATCTGCATCCATTAAGGTTTGTTTCAAACAAATTATTCTTTTATTTTGACTTAATGCTATCACGTAATAAAATTATAATGTATCACATCCATTATAATTAACGTAAATTGTTTAGTCAGATTACTTAGTAATAATCACCGGAATAATTGAATAAAATATTATTCAATAGTTCAAAGCAAAGGCGTTCAATCTAGAAAGTAACGAAATCTTCCGACTCAATAATTATTTCTTTGTTATTTATTTTCATCAAATTTATTTTTCCCTCACCCTACATCCTTTCTTTCTTTGAGGGGATTAAAAAGAGTCCTTATCTATAAAATATTTCAAATATGTATTTATATATTTGTATATATTATATCTATCCTTTTCATCTCTTAAATCCTTACTTTTTTGAAAAGTTTATCATTTGAACATTTTTTTATAATTTGCTGAATTCTATATACTGAGACGTATATACTGAAAACTGTCATACCTCATTCATAACTCATAAGAGAGAATATATTGCTGGTCACAGAAAGCTTTTTATATTAAACAATACAAAATAAATAAGATTAATTGAGAATGTCATTTCATATCTAATCTGATTATTTAGAAATATAATTTTTTGTTCTAATGATTTTTTTATGGAATAATTTATTTTTTAATATAGGAATACAAAAAAAACTTATAAATTTATCGTTCTACTAATTGTTTTTATTTGATAACTAATTGAAAAATAATAAAGAAATTTATTCAGTGATGAGCTGAAATAGTGGGCGGGGTGGGTTAACGTGTTGTGCACAGCACCACCGTTGCCCGGCAACCTGATATATGACAAATGTTATAAAAATAGTCACGTGTTCGCGTCCCGGTGCCAAGGTGTCTTTTAAATCCCCGCCCAAACCCTCTGGCCTGGGAAAACCCCGTATAGCCTTAACGGCGTGGAAGGTGAAGAAAAAAGTGATGAGCAGAATAACGAATAAATGAGTTATTCTCTATCCATGAGTAAAATATAACTTTTATTCACTATTTATTATCCTTCTGAATAAAATTTGCCAAACTCTAGACATTGAAGACAATTTTTTTTGCCAAAAATTGTTTAATAATTAGATAATTATTAAAAACTAAAATACTTAATCTACAAGGTGTTTCGTAATTGCCCGGCATTATTTTAGGTATCTGTTCACTAAAACAAAATAAACAAAAAAGTTCATATTAACTATATATCTCAAACTCATTTATTAAACAGATATCAAAGGTTAATGATTTATTATTTATTTACTAGATTAAGACTGACTGTAAAAAGTTTAACGTGTTTAATACTAAATAACAGTTTTTAATGATCTGATATACAAATGAACGATAATCAATGACAGTAGTTGCTCATCTGTTTGTCTAGTTCTGTGTGTTTTAGTGTGAGTGAATACTGTGATACAGTTCAGTTTATGATTATCATGGAAGTCACCATAAATTTATTCGCTTTTGGAGAACATACATACAAAACGGAGGCCCATTGTAAAAGTTACTCTAAATGTTGAAATAGTAATAAATAAATAGTAATAATAAGTAATAAATCTTTAACCTTTGGGGGCGGGGTGGCCGAATGGGCTAAAGCGTGTGCACAGCACCGCGAGTTGCCTGGCAACCGGAGAAAAAAGATTTGAGATGATAAAAAAGTACGAGTTCGCGTCCCGGTGTCGTAGGGGATTTTAAATTCCCCGCCCTCACCCCCTTGCCCGGGAAAATCCCTTATAGCCTAGAAGGCTAGGTAGGGAAGAAAAAAAAAATCTTTAACCTTTGATTTTTGTTTTAAAAATGAGTTCGAGATGTATGAATGAACTTTTGTTTATTTTGTGTTAGTTAACACGTAACTAAAATAGTTCTGTACAATTACGAAACACTCTGTATATTGATATTTATCCAATATTAGATATCTATCATCCTCGTAATTTTAAAATAACATTCCACAATATATATAATCAAATTTATGAATCATGTATTTATCACTAGACTAACGACGCAGCCATTTTGAAAACCTTTGAGCTCTTTAGAACTCTCAGAACTTCCTTAAAACGCATACGATCTTTGCAATACAAGGGACTCAATCCCATAAAGTTAAAAGTATGAATATCACAATTACTCATCTTTGAGGATAAAAAAAAAATAAACATTATGTGTTGTTGCAGTCCAAGGAATTCAATACTTTGCTATATCAGCTCATGATCGACGACAAGGCTAATGAAATCCTGCTCAATGTGAGTAAATACATTTATGGTTTTCATTTTATGGATTTAAAATATTAGCAGATAGTAGAGTGTGTATTTAAAAAAACAACTGTTCATTATCAGAATGAATAATATCAATATGATACTGTTACCTTTCTACTAACAGTAATTGCAATTTCAATATTGTAGTTTATTAGCCTTATCTTTGAACACCTGCTTAAACAGGACCAGGATGTCCACACAATTAAGTGTGTGGACATCCTGGTCCTTCTTTATGGAGCTAACAGCTGGGTTTTGACTGAAAAATTGCAGAACGTGATATGAGTTTTCTGTGAAGAGTAATAGGAAAGAAAAGAAGAGATCGCATTAGAAACCAGAGAACAAGGGAAGAACTAAGGATTCGTTCTGTCCTGAATGTAATAGAAAACCGACAGCTGAAGTGGTTTGGTCACGACTGCCGCATGGAACACCGTAGGGACCCTACCAAAAAGATGGAGGTGAAACCATTGGACAGGAGATCCAGAGGTAGATCCAGAAATTCCTACTTGGGTCACATCAAAGGGATTGGTAGACAATTTACTGCTGAAGAGACCCATGAGGGACCGATACGCATAGCCCCGTTGGCTGGAGACACCCCAACGCTGAGAGGCAAATGGGTGAAAGAGATAGAAGAAGAAAATTATTTAATTGACTTGACCAAACCTCCACTGTATTCCCTCCACTCCTCACTTACTTTAAACTTTGCGTTCTTGGAGATACCTAATGCAGATCCTGACCACGAAAAAAGTGAGCTCAGCTCTACTTTTTGAAAAAAAAAATACTCATTGCCCGTGATTTCCTTGTAACCAGAGACCCAAACTAGCTTCATCTTCTAGAAGCCGACAGGTATCTGCAATGGCTACGTACAATCTCTCATTGGTGGAAGTCGCTTGAGAGAACTCTAAGCTCCATAAGATGACTAAATATTAGAATCGATAGTAATGCCGGCTCTTTCGTAGCCGATGACTTCCGACTATGTGGCCAATATCTCGGCCATAAATTCGGTTAAATATTTACCTGATGAAATGATTAATTTCATATCATAATCTTCTTCTTCTACTCAGCTTCCGTTGGGCTGGTCGAGTCTTTTTATTCATCCTTCAACTTCGGTGAATAGAGTAGATATCGGTGAAATAGAGTAGATAGGCTTAATTAATAACAAACCGTAAACTGTCATATTTATTGAAGTGTTAATATTTTCATAGTAATATTTTTTAATTTAGTATCAATATTAATATGTATTAGGAAAAACTGAAGATGCACATTGCGATGAAGAGAGAGGTGATGTTCACAGCTTGCGGCTTCTTTAACTTGGGCTACTCTTTACTACACTCGGTGGGTAATACTTGCATATATTTATTAAACTTATCTTATAACGTATTTTAAATTTAAAAATAAAAAACCTATACCATTACAACCCATGAAGGGTCTTGGGTTCAGTACGTTTTAGGGAAAGTACTGTTTCTTAATCAAGGTTTGTGCAAAGTGGTTATTTGAATGAGATGACGGTCAATCGCCAGGTTTTTCCCCTTAAATAATTATTTAATTATGGGTAGCCACTTTTTAGAGACTAAAAATGTATTTGGAAATGAAGAAAATTAAATTAACCCTTATATTTGAAATATATGTTCTATTATTCTAAATCCACATATTATAATATTTTATTGTACATATGTATGTAAAAAAGATAGTAATCGGGTGTATGAAGGGTTAATACATTCTATCCCATAATAATCTAACCAACAAAAAGCTCCTTATTCCATTCCTAGCAACTCTGCCCTAAAATACGTCTTTTATAGCTTATTTCAGAATGTCCATTTAAAACAATTACAAATCCATCAAGTTTGTCCTTTATTTACAAATTGGTCTTTATAAACTTTAAAATGGCAACCCATAGCTGAGAGTCTGTCCATTTGAAATCATCAAGACTCAAAAATCATAGTTGGGGAACCGCGGCCTCCAAACGTTTTTGTACGAAATTTAATAATCTACTGATAGAATTAATTGTGTAATTATGTAAATATTGTATAGTATTTGTTATTGTATAGTATATTTTATAGCCTGTGTTTTAGTTGTTATTTTGATTAGTTTAGTTATTTTGTTTATATACATTTACTTTCAGTATTATTTATTGTTATTTATTGTAAATAGAGTGTGAATATGCTCTCTGAACACTATTATAAATGTCCTTCATTGTGACGGATTGTAATATTACTGAATTAATAAATATTAAAAAAAAAATCTTCAGATGGTTATGGAAAATTTTCTTCATTGTAAAAATTCATCTATCATTTTTCTGCTAGGAAAGCACTTGGGTCTTCTGTATATTTCCTTTCTATGTTACAAAATCTACGGAGTTTCTTCAAATGTTAAAAGTCATACACAAATTGTTAACATAAAAAATTTTTTTTTTTTTATTTCTTAAAAACATTTACAACTGTATTAAATAAATACATCTAGTAAATTTGAACATAATGCATATAATGACATGAAAACACTTGCTGAGTAACTACCCAATGGTAGCACTCTAATGATATGTTTACATTAGGAGATCACGGGGCCATCTTCTTTCCAGACGCCTCGGATGGTTATCAGGAATTGAAGAGGAAGCAAGGTTAGAAACGAGAGGGTTGGGATGATTCTGAAGTTTATTATGAAAGGATAGGTATCTGTATTGGGCCAGATCTGAAACAAAAGAAACATTAAGGCCATTATGGATGGTTTTATTTGTAACAAAGTAGGGAGCAATGAGGATTTTACGAAGGATTTTGGATTGTAAGGATTGGATACGAGAGGAATTCGACGGTTCAAAAAAAAAAAAAAAATCTATAAATCTAATTATTGTATGAAGAATGAATCACGAACTTCTACATATTTTTGGACAGAAATTCTGAATAAATTATTAATACATTATCATAACTGCCGATAAAGTAACCACTAAGAAAACAGAATGACTATGAGAAAAATACTACAGAATAATTGCCTGCCTGGGATTATTTCTAACTATTTCCAAACCCTGGAGTTTTTCTTGACATTAGTCAAGCCTTTGATAAAGTTTGACATGAAGGATTGCTCTACAAACTTAAAATTTTACTTCCTCCGACCTACTATCTAATATTACTTTCATATCTAACGGATAGACATTTTGTAGTAAAAGTAGGGACAGAACGTTCTGACATCAAACCTATTACAGCAGGAGTCCCTCAGGGTAGTGTCCTTGGACCAATATTGTTTAATATATATATGTCTGACCTACCGGAACACAACGACACAATACTGGCTACTTTTCCAGACGATACCGCAGTACTAAGCTCAGATAAAAACCCTGTTCGAGCATCTACCATCCTACAAAATCATCTGAACGATATTGCAGACTGGGCAACAAGGTGGAAAATTAAGATGAATGAAAAAAAAAGTGTGCATGTGGTATTCACTCTTAACCATAAACCTTCCCCTGAAATATATTTTAATAACATTCAAATCCCAACATCAGATGTAATTAGGTATTTAGGTTTTTACCTGGACAAAAGACTTACTTGGAAGACTCACATCAGACAAAAACGAATAGAATTAAACAGACGATACGGTCTCTTATCCAGATTACTTGACCGACGTTCAAAATTATCTTTAACTAACAAACTAACCCTTTATAAAGTCTTACTTAAACCTATTTGGACTTACGGCATAGAACTGTGGGGCTCTGCTAAAACTTCCAACATTAAAAAAGTTCCTTTCAGTCAAAAGTGTTGCGAAGGATAGTTGACGCACCTTTTTATGTCGCAAATGACACATTACATAAAGACTTAAACTTACTTACAATTTTAGATACTGCAAAAGAGAACTACAATAACTTTCACCAAAGACTGACGTACAACATGAATCCTCTGACAGAAATCCTTCATCGTACAAGAAATCCGTACAGCCCACCACGACGATTACGTAGGCGTGGGCCAAGGGACCTGCTGATCTAATTTATATCTCGGACGTGATGGGAAGCTGTGAAGCTGCTAAAAAATTTGCTTATTGCAAATAAATTTGCAGATTGCAAATTTAATCTAATGTTCCACATTTTTGTTTGGTTAATAAATAAATAATTTTTCCACAAAATATATTTCCTTATCACGTTAGTGTTAATGTATATATATACCTCCTTAGCAGTTATCAAAAACATTTCCTTCATATTCAAGCTTTAAGTTTTGTTCATACCGACAGTTACACGCATTTTCTCTGGGATTAAAAGTAACTGAATAGATCGTGACATTATGATTCTGTTTCCAGATGATCGCCTCAGCTACAACATATTTGGTTATTTTGCTCCAGTTTGGTCAGCCTGGAAGCGTACCTGAGAAAGACGCGTCAGAGATGCTTATGACTAACCTCACCTCAACAACACCAACCCCGTCCATGACCACCTACGTGTGAAATGTAATATTAGTACTTAAAGGAAATTTTAAATGTTTAGTTATTATTGAAAAATTTAACCATAAACTCATCTGTCTCAAATATTGAGATAAATTACAAAAGAATCCGTCCACGTTTCGGCATGCATCATCACGAGAAAAGAAAATTCTAAGACCACTTTAACCCATGACATTCAAATTTATCTATGCCCTGTCCTAATGATGGCTAAATTGGTGGAACAGTGACGAATTATCTTGTTCTTTATCTGCATATTTGAGACTGAAGGCAGTCGGTTTTTTTTTCAATTATAATTTAGCACTTAATTTTTGTGAGAATTTACTCGTTATGTTAGTAAATTTTAGAATGAAATCTATCTCGAACATTTAAACAATGATATACTGAAAACAACACTTTTTTTTTTAATGATATGATGATTTAATTTGAATTGTTTGTAGTAGCCTAAATAAAGTGTTAACACTTTGTCATTTCTTTGATATAAAACTGATTGTTTCAAAATTATTATGGTTTTGTCTTAATCATAGTATAAGTACCTCTGCAAATCTAACTAAAAACGTTTAGCTATTTTAAAATTATAGGAACTTCATTGATCCCTAAACTATGAATTTTCTTGTAATTATTATACAAAGTTAAAGAATTATTGAAGGAAGTTAATCGACTTTTCTACATATCATGAGTGATAAATATTCAGGACGCAGTCATGATAAAGTTTTTATTAGTGCCGACGTTTCAACCGTTTCAGTCAATTGAGTACTTGAATATCTTCTGTGCTCGAACCACGCCCTGATGATGACCCATATGTTTGGGTTGAAACTTCGGTACTAATAAAACCTTTATCATGACTACGTCCTGAATATTTATCACCCATGATGTCTGGAACAGCCGATTAACTTCCTTCATTAATTCTTCTAATGGCCACTTACGGAGAACCCTCACCCATTTGCTTGTCTCTACACTGATTCTCACTCGGAGATTCACCGATAGATCCACCAAGTTTTCTCTCTTCAGCTTATACCGGGAATAGTCTTTACACAGTTGGAGATCAACCGAAAAACTTCCTACTAAGACCTGAACTGTCTCATGAGACACTGTCTTGAACGCTTTAGTGACTGGCAGCAGAGCCATCCGCTGAATCATCGCCAAACTTTTCTGCTGTTGATGCGAGAGATTCTGACATGCAGGGAACGCGTATCTCAGGAAACCCTAGATCACTCCTTTATAAATTGGCAAAGTGGCTGGATATCTAAGACCCCAAAAGGCGCCCACGATGCGACTGAGTCCTTTAAAGGCCAGGGCCATCCTACTTAATCCAAAGGTTGAAGTTAAAGTTTCTGCCTTTCCTCAGCACAAGATGGATGACAACCTCACTTGGCCGTACCGTTTCTCCCTGTATATCAAGAGTAAACGATGGACTCTGTCAGACTTACCCCTCAAAAGAATGGATTGAGCCTTGACAGTCGCTATCTTCAGCTTTTTTCTCTCTCATCATTCTCCTACTTGGTTGGCGCACCGTTCAGCTTCTTCTTTTAACCTAGCTTAGTTCTTCAAAGGCACCATAGCTGCCAAATCTTCTACATAAGCAGTGGTTGTGAACTAGCACTTCCAGCAGCTCTTCTGATAAGAAGTTCCATAGTGCTGGTAGTTTCAAAGAAGTTACCTTGTATCTTCTATTTCCGGTTCAATTGGTAGCTTTTCGGCAGGTCATACAAAATTTTGGAGTACGCTTGGCCACCAAACACTATCGAAGGCGAAGGATATCACAAACAGGAGAACACACTTCTCCGCCTTCTCTTCACCGTCACAGCAGAACAACTGCGATTCCTTTGCCTTTACTGCGTCCATACTCCCGTGGATGGATAGCTCTTGAGAAGACTGGCCGCAGGCTCGTCGT